CTTCCTTCCTTCCTTCCTTCCTTCCTTCCTTCCTTCCTTCCTTCCTTCCTTCCTTTCATAGGATAAGCAGCTGTTCAATGCTGTTCTGTTGGATTTTTTGGGAGCAGAATTTGCAATTGTCATAACAACAAAGTTGTTTATAAACACAAGGGCAGGATTTTGGCCCTAATCTTAGTTTAATAAGGACATTGGTGATTTTGCTAATAGTTTTGAGTGTTAAAATTCTGAACAGCTTTAAAAACATTTGTTACTGTAAAGCAGGCATAAGTATTCCAAATATATTAATGAATAAATGGATCTTGCTATGGAACCTTCTAAAATGCTATCAGTTATCATCTATGATATGTTATTACCCCTTCCTTTTTTCAATTAAAACTCTTATCCAGATTTCTTAAATTATGACTTTAATGAAATGCATAGGGTTCTATGGAAAAGAAAATATGAAAGTCTGGTTTTATGGGAGCATGTATTTCCTATTACACAAATGGAAGAAAGGCAGACCAAAATATAGAATAATAGTCTCTTTGATCTAACTTTATCTTCTGAGACATCTATCAAGTTTCTTCTACTGATGGCAGCCTGGTGGCGTTACATTACCTAGTAATTTTAATCATACAAGGCAATGCAAATTGTGTATACGACTTACATATATCAGGAAATTAGGAAAGGTCCCCAAATTTCATGTTGAATTTCAAGATGGGAGTAGTTTTCAGTTTTGGGGTGTTTAAAAATATTGGCAGTTAGTGATTCGGATCCTAGCAGAAACATTGCCACAGTTGATATTACTAAGTCTCTCATTACTACTATTGTAAAATGTGGGAGATCAAGCCTTTGCTGAACACAGTATAAACTGAATGTGACACTACTGATTCAGAAATGAATTTAAAGTAATTAACCTAATGATTTCAACTTTAGGACTTGGAATTCTATCCTATGTTTTATGTTGCATTCTCTTCTATCAGTGCCACTATCCGATGTACCCTGGATTATGAGTAATTAACCTGGTCATCAGACTTTTTACTTCTTTTTTGTCTTAGATATATGATTTATGTTTTATGAAACCTTGTGGAAAGGTGATACTGCTGAGGAAACCCATTGTATTTGTTTTATGAGATGATTGCTTCATTCTGTCTGATAGTGGGCAGTCCAAGATTCGTTTGGCTTGTTATGGTTCTTTTAAAATATGATTTATATTTATCCAATCTAAACCCAACCTTTGTTGGGAATTCAGAGGGTTATAGTCCAACAAATCTGGAGGGAACCAGTTAGAATTGGTTACATAATTATATCTTTATTGAAGAGTAAATAAATGAGTTGATAATTTGCACTGGTTTTGCATAATTTGGGATGAGACTGGACTGCATTAATTTTTTTATACTGACTAAGATGGCTTTAAAGTTACAGTGACTTTACAAAGAAGTCTGCTGAAAAAAATTATGAAATATCTGCCTTAACACACATAAAAAGGAAAAAAAATAATTACATAATCAGAGGTCTATCATCAAAGAATTTAAAAAACTGAATAAATTTACTAAACTTCAAGGCTTTCCAGAATAATTCAGTTCCTAGAAATTATACAAACACAAAAATGCAAAATGCTGTTTCTGACAAATAATTTGATATCAAAAAATTTTAAATGGTGAAATTATTATGCTGTCTTGCATAGTTAAATATTTACATGAAATAAATACACCAGTAGATTGGCCATTTGATAAAAATCTAGTGATACAACAAGCACTATTTTGAAAGGTACTTTTTCCATTTTCAAATTGGCATATGATCAATCTTTCTAGAATCCTATAGGCTTTGAATCTAAATTTATTATCTTGATGAGGTTAAAGGGCTCAGTATGGAATTCAAAGTGGCCACGAGAGCAGGTGAGCTCTGCAGGCACAGGGGAAGGCAACCCACCTAAGAGAATGAACTTTAAATCAAATACAAAATTACTTCCTGCTTGTTGCCAAGAAAACGGTATGGACATGGCTGAAAAAGTTTGGATGTCAGTTGCCAATCAGAAGGTATTCCTTGGGTTACTGCGGGGGAAGGTGGACTTTTATGAGTAGATATAGGCATGATTCCTTGGGTCACAGGCTAAGAATTGTAATAACTGATGAGGTCAGCCTTGAAAAAGGAATTTGTCTCCAAGTGCATACACAGTTGGAATATAGAATGTGAGAAACGTAAATCAAAAAATCATGACATTGTTCAAGCAAAAAATAAAAAATTGTAAATTAGGATTGTAATAAATTGCTTTAAGGAATAAATGAACTTAGTTGGACCACAATAGGCCACTTTAACTCAGGTGATTATATATTCCTGGGCATGAGTTTTTATTAAGAAATGAAGTGTCAGACACTCAAAAAGGACTTCATATGTACTTAATGTA